ACTGAGCTAGGCACTCTGAAGAAGGCTGTGGCATGCAGCCTAAAATTTAGTTTTTGTATCTAATATACCTTTTTTTAATAAACTTCTTCAAACGTAGCCGTTATTTCTTTATTGCATGGATTTATTAAACCTGATGAATGCGAGCATTAAAAGATCGATTAATTTTGAACTGGTGTGTCACATAGAGCTGAAAATTTTTTAACATGTTGGTGCATTTAAGTCACTTTCCAGTTTTGCCTATACTCTCCGAGAACGTGTTGCCTCTTTCACTTAAGAAACTTACTCCGAGCGTCTCTAGAAATTATTTCTACATTTTTAAGATACAAACCAAATGTCGAGCTCGACAACTTGTAAGAGGTCTGTTTGATCGCCGAAGGTGGTCGATAGCCGCGACCTAAAGTTGCATTTTTTGCAACTGTTCCTGGTCAGGTCTTATAATAAATGCACACGTATATAAATAAAATTACGCATATAAATGTATTCCACTCGATAATTTCCATCGACAACACCCTTCAACTATTATTATTCAATCGAGTGAGATGCCTAGAAAATCACGATATTTACCTATACAACCTGCACATGCATCCATGGCAGTACCCCGGTATATATTGATGAACTTGTGCATGGTTAGAGCTCGACAACTGGCCTCTGCACATGTAGTTCAGTTGGTTAGAGGTTCGATTCCTGCCAGGGACCTAAACTTGCATTTTTCGCATCTGTTCTCGGTCAGGTCTAATAAATGTAGAAAAATTTCCACTCGATAATTTCCATTTATTTTTTATTATTATTATTATTTATTTTGCCCAATAAAACGTTTACATAATTACAGTGCTATAATAACAACGTGAAGTGCTAGGGACCTTAATGAAACCCTTTCAGGCTTTTTGGTAAGAGGTCCCTAGTTTTACAATGTTCATAAGAATAATTTTTGAGAGTCGAATAGAATATTTACAATAATGATTATAACATAACTAAGACAGTTTTAGTCATCGACAATATCCTTCAACTATTATCCAATCGAGTGAGATGCCACTGAACAAAATAAAAAAATTATGATATGTTGTTGGCACTCACACTTTGGAAGTTAAGATTCCCTTGTCTAATTTCCAAAAATGAAAACTTCTGGCATTAGCCAAGAAAATTTACTTAAGCTACCCAGGCGTTTATAAGAATTATCACACACAAAGCCTAAGATATAAAATAAATATATCTATAATCCCACAACAATACAAGTTATGACGTAGGCTAAACAAGTTAAACATTTTTACTAATTACATGGTAATATTCTTAATCCTTTCTAATTGAAAATGATGATGGTGCCAAAATATATATCTTGTAATTGGAATTCTATATTTCTGTTATCTTGTTTCGCCTCGTTGGTCCAATTCTTGTTCCGCTTTCATAACGCGTACCTGAATTGAAGTGCTTCCTCAATTAAAGAAGATGCTTTCAAAGTGTTTTCATTTTGCAATACTGACCGTGATTTTCCTGTCACTCCAAGGTACGTAAGTATTCTGTCGTTTATAACATGCATTTATATTTCATGTGCTTTCAAACTTCCGCACTCAAACTAACCTAAGTGGCAATGATTATAAATCTAAACATAATAAGTGGCAATGATTATAAATCTAAACAAGGCGCTCCACAGAGCGTTAATTTCCTGGGACTATGGAAATATGCAACTTTAAGTACAAGAAAACCACTGAAGACGAGCGAAAATATTGATTCTTGAAGTTTGCTTGATATATATCGACTGGTGTTATGTTGCAACTAAACTAGCTATATAGTTAGTGCATGCGTCGAAGGCTTGAAGGCAAGAATACGGCATTCTTCGCCTCCACCTAGACGCATCATTATAACTTCTGTGTAATAAAATAATGGTTCGTGAGAGAAGTGTTTCGAACGATTCCCAAGCAAACATGCACGTCTACGGAGTTAAGTCAGCTAGCTAAATGTGGCCCAGCAAATGACCTGTGTCTAAGTTCAATATATCATGCAAACAATATATATAAACGTATATATATACTACAAGGATAACGAAACATTTCGGTGGTGTATCAAAGTGGTTTGCCAAATTATTATTAAAGCCTCGCGAGAAGAAAGATAGTGTTTCACAAGAATTCGTAGAAAAACAAACCATGTCTGCATTCTGCGCATGAAATCAGTAAGTTTATTCTTGTGATCTCTGCGGTCTGAGTTCGATCTGGCAAAGATTAATACGTAGACAACGAAACATTTCGGTGATGTATCAGGACAGTTCCCTTAAATTCAAACTGCGGTTTGTGCGACTGTAAGAGAAATAGACTTTTCCGAAGAGAAAGATAGCGTTTCGCACAGTTTCAGGGCAAAATAAACCATTTGCAATCGTCTACACAGGGGCGTCGCTAAAGTGGGTGTGTAGGGAGGATAACACCCCCAATAGCCGGACAATCCGCAAATTATTGAACCCCAGTCAGAAAATTGTTTTCGTAGACGGCAAAAATTGAATTGGACGGGAAGAAAAAAACTAAAAAATTGACTTGAAATTCACTGATTACAAACTAATATTTATAGCGAAACATTTTTGAAAATGTATGAAAAAAAGGAAAAATTACCGAATGACGGTCTGTTAACCGAGAAAGGAACATTTTCGGGAAAAGAAATATTAACTCGTTTTTGAGATAAGTCGGCAAAATTGCACTTAAACCCCTCCATTAAAACAGGGCTAGCGACGCCCCCGCGTCTACACGACCACACAATGACACTAAAACCAGTAATAGTAAATTTAACTTAAACACTAGCAATGACGAACATGCTAATGACCTGTGTCTAAGTTCAATATTTCACGCAAACAATATATAACGTATATACTACAAAGATAACGAAACATTTTGGTCATGTATCAAAGCAGTTTCGACCAAATTAAAATTGCACCCAGTGCGTCTGTAAGAATAATATCTATATTAATAAACCCTGTGTTAATTTTATTTCAAGCCTAACTGCAAATTATTTGCGTTTTAAAAGGTTGTGTCCCTGATTTTCTCACCACTTTGGCGTAAAACCCACTTTAAAATTGCATAAACATAACGAAACAGTTTGCAATACAAATCACCCAGCGAGCACATCACTTCTTAAACGGCGGCCATCTTGCTCAATAATATTCTATTTTGTGAATATCGACGACGATCCACTATCCGACATCTACCAAAAATGCGTGCCGAAATCTATAGTCGCAGGTTCCCCAGCGACTAACTATACAGGGTGTATCAAAATAAACGCAATTCATCTTTTGTGCTTAATAACTTTCGAAATACTATTCTAGTTAAACGCTTTTAGGCTTACTTCAAAGCCTGTTTTTTCTCTTTCAAACAAACTATTATCCTTGTCTCCAATGCTAGTAATAATTGCACAGGAAAAGATTTAGTAAAGCCTATCATTTTTAGTTGCTGTTTAATTATGCAAGTTTACTATGTTATTGTTTAGTCGATTTAAATGTTAGAATTTTCTTCTTTAATTTTTTAATGTTGTCGTCACTACATCTAGAAAACCACGTAAGAACAAATTAAAAGTATTTTAAAAGAGAGCAGGTTGTTTGAAAATCCTAAACGAATGCTAAAAATCGTCAAAACATTCTGGTGTCTGAGCCAGAGTGTCATCGAATTGCGATGTAATGTAAACAGAAATGATAGCAAGTTGATGTCAGTCAGCTTAGATGGTCCAAGCCAAAATTATATCGCATTTGAAGTTTCAAACTGAGTTAAAAATAGTGGAAGAAAAGCCGTAATTATACTTATTGTTACAATCCATTTAATAAAATGCAACATTTTTCCGTTTTAATGAAAAAATTAGTTATTTTCATGAGAACGTTTTGTTATTCCATCTCAATTTTTTTAATCTCCAATCGCAATAACGTAAAGTATTATTATCCGCGAACCAATGAGTCAAATTTAAGAAACAACCCAATATTAGAAAGCTGAATGGCTACGCTATAAAATGAATGTAAACTTTAACGTTTTCGTCTATTATTTGTTTAGCAATTTACATTTCAGTCGAGGATTGCGCTTTTTTTTATACACTCTGTACACTGCAGTTTGAATATTAAAGATTTAATTAAACTTCATTGCCATTAATTCATCCAATTGTGGAGTTAATCAGGAATGAATCAGAAAAACTGCTTGCAATAAACGTAAGCACACAGACACGCAACAGGAATCCATTATTTACTTCGTTATTTATTTTTACTCGCTGGGGCACCTGTGCCCCAGACGAGTATAGGTTTCGGCTCGCATTTTTCTCGGATAGTGGATCGATAGTCACAAAATAGAATATTAATGAGCTGCCTAATTTCCCCCCAATTATCCATAAGGTTCCTGCCAATTTCACCCGAATTATGCATAAATAACCCTTCATTTTGAGGAAAATTTCGGGAAAATTGAACAATTTTACATGGAATTTCGACATGGAAACAGCAACCTTGTACGTTTGATCCTTGATAACTCTGGTATTATTGGTTTTCTCTTTTTCGGCCGTATACCAGTGAATTCGTCTCACTTATCTCTTCATTTTAATAGTATTTTGAGCCCACAAGCCCCAAAATATTTTATTTTGAACGTTTTAATGGGGGGACTTAACCTAAACTATATAAAAAATATCAATTTTTGTTTTTTTTTGAAAATTGTCTACTTCAATTATCGTAGAATCTGGTTTTAATACTTTTTCTGTGAAATCTGTCCGGATTTTGCAATTTTTTTAGCATTTGAACAAACCATGCTAAAATTCATGTACTAGTTACTATTGTAACGGGAAACTTTTTTATCCATTTTCATTTCTTTTTGCATCTTTTTGACCAACAAAACTGTAAGGAATATAAACTATAGCACTTACACAGTGTATAATATGACCTTTTAAAGTTGTTTGGTGGGGCCGCGGGACCTGATGGGATACATCTAAAAATTATTCATGAGCTTGTAAATTTTATAATATTATTGCTCGTATTATTGAGACAAAGTTTTTCACATTTAATGGCTGGAAAAAAGAAAAGATCTGTTTACAGAAAGTCGAAGAAAGGAAGGCAGTTTACTGGACTTCAAAGATATGCTAACAAAACGAAGACACAAGAAAATGTGCTAATAAATGAAGGTGAATCGTCGATGACACAACATCAACCAGTTCAGAGATTGATCAACCTTTGGTTTTGAGTGCTTCTAGGATCAAATTAAAACGCCGAACTATTTCAAGCAGTTCATCGGACAACTCTGATGGTGGGATAGACGACCCTGTTGAAGGATATAGGCTTGTAAATGTTGCAAAATTAGCTTCAGTTCTTTCAACTGAAACACATGTTTGTGAGGGAGGTAAGATGACTAACCTGGATTGTATATACTGTTCCCTTGATTACCATAAAAAAATTTCCTTCATTACTTTTTTCAATTTGTTTGATAGTAAATTTTATTTCTCCATGTTTTTCAACCCAAACTTTTCCCATATATAAACATTACATTGGCTAGCAAAGTGGACTTACCCACAGCACAATTATGTTTTATATATTTAGTATTTCACACCAGTTTTCATTTAATTATTTCTGTATTCTAGGCCATTTGATTCTGAGTGAAGATAGCAGTGGAAGAAATGGTCTTATGTCTGACCTCACCATTAAGTGCAACATATGCTCTGAGAGTACCAGTTGTGGAACATCGTTGTCAGTTTCAGAAAGAGGGAAATCATATGATGTGAACCGACGGGCAGTGTACCATTCTCTGGAAACAGGAAGTGGTTATGAAGGGCTTGTAACCTTTTGTAGTATCATGAACATGCCATGCTTGTCATTACCATTTTACCACAAAATGGTTGATACAATTCTTGTGGCCGTGGAAGCAAAAGCCCAGGAAGAAATGCAACTGGCAGGTTTTATATTCTCCGTTATTCAACTTTTATAACAAGTATTTACTCTGCTATATTATACATGTATACTTGCTCTCTGGCTTAGCGTCTTCTAATCTAATGTCTCGTGACCTAATCTTATATGTCAATCACTTCAGCTGACCAATCAGCATTTGGATACAACATCCCTTCCTTAATTATAGTTATGAAAATATCAACCTATAAAGTTTCTAAAGTCTCTAATTCTATGTAGTTCTTTACTTTGTAGTTCCGTTCTAAGACTTAGTGTCTTGGAATTACTATTACGGGGTTTCATTACCGTGTTCTTTAAAACTAAATAAATGTCAACAGTCTGCATTTTAAACTTGACTAATTTAACCTACTTTTAGATAGTCTGGTTGTTTTCTATTTCTCGTTGATCTACGTAGAACAATTTCCGTTTCTGTAGTATTCTGGTTGGTTTCTGTTTGAGTTGCTTCGGTGTTTCCTTCGCGACTTTCCGTTTGTCTGCCATGCTTGCGATTACTCTGGATTTCTTCTTCAGGATCAGGAATTTCCTGGTATAACTTGACATGCGATAAGTTTCTACGATGTTGTGTGCCATTCTTGTCTTTTAACACTATCTGCGTGCCGTTTATTTTGGTGATTACCATTGGATCAGGATGAAACTTTGTCGTAAATTTGTTTCGATGTTTTTGAGTAACTAGTACTTTATTTCCGACTTCAAGATTTCTTGGACTTGCTTTTCGCCTCTTGTCGGTATATTTCTCTTTCTCCTCTTCATCTTTCTTGCGAGTTTCAGTTTCATCGTTTGTCTGTTGTTCAAAACTAGGAAGTTTCGTCTTGACTTCTCGGTTCATTAGCAATGATGAAGGTGTTCTTCCGGTCATTCTATGAGGAGTATTGCGGTAGTGGAGTAGCATGATTGGAATGGTGGGTTTCCACGCTTTTCCTTCCGCCTGTGCGGTTAGGATGTGTTTCTCGAGAACTTGATTAAATCTCTCAACTTGCCCATTGGCTTGCGGCCAATATTCCGTCACCGTCTTATGTTCTATTCCCCAAGAAGTTAATGTATCCTTGAACTCGGTAGAAACAAAGTAGGATGCGTTGTCGGACTTTATTTCATCTGGAAATCCGTGAGTTGCAAATACCGATAGTAACCAGTCGAGAATGTTTTTGGACGTGACTGATTTTAAGATTTTGACTTCTGGCCAGCGCGAATAATAGTCAGTAAGGACAACTACTTGTTCTCCAGTGGGAAATGGTCCACACACGTCTATGGCTAGCTTCGACCATAGTTTCTTAAGAAGCTTAGTTGGTTCCATTGGCTCTGGTCGCGGGCTCTTACTGACAAGTTGACATGGATGACAGCATCGAATTCGTTCTTCAACCTGCTTGTCCATCTCTGGCCACCAAAGCTTGGAGCGCAGGCGTTGTTTGCAGCGGACCATACCTGCATGATCCTCATGTGCAAGGCTAATTGCTTGTTGTCTCAGCTTGTTAGGAAGAACAATGCGATCACCCCGAAGTAAGATATCTTGATCTGTGATGCAGAGCTCATGAGCGATGAGCTTATATGCTTTCGGAAGTTTGTATACTTGATTATTTTGCAAGTTCTGTTTAATCTGCTGGAGTTCCGGATCTGCTAATGTTTCTCTTTGTATTTCTTCTAATTTCATGGCATTCGGTGTCTGTGCTTGTGTCATGTAATGAACATATCGGTCAGCGCAAGCCTCCATGTTGCTCCTTTTGCTTCCATCTTTTCCATCTTTCGGGAGTCGGGACAAAGGATCGGCCAGATTGGATGGGCCAGGTCGGTAGATAACGTGGAATTCGTACTCTTGGAGTCGAAGTCTCCATCTTCCGAGTCTGGCTGATGTTGGTTTGCTTTGAAGCTTTGCCTTGTAGATATGCTCTAAAGGTCGGTGGTCTGTCTCCAATTCAAAACTACGTCCATATAGGTACATGTGAAAGTGTTCACATCCGAATACGATTGCTAATCCTTCTTTCTCTATGTGACCATACTTCTGTTCGACATCTGTTAGCGATCTGCTACCATACGCGATTGGTCGATAATTGTCGTAGGCTTGTTTCTGGAGAAGTCCGGCACCCAGTGCCCATGGCGATGCATCTACTACGACTTTAGTTTCCGCAGTAAGATTGTAATGAGCTAATACCGGTGAAGTGGTGATGGCATTCTTCAGTGACTGGAATGCTTTCTCGTGACTGTAATCCCAGTGAAACGTGACATTCTTCTTTGTAAGCTGTCGAAGTGGGAAGGTTAGGCTGCTGTAGTCGGGTATATATCTCAAACAATTATTGGTGAGGCCTAGGAAGGATCTGACTTCCGATGCTGTGGTAGGATGTGGAGCATTTGTTATGGCTTCGACTTTGGTGCTATCTGGTCTGATCCCTTTCTCGGACACGATATGACCAAACACGTTTATCTGCGGTACTGCGAACGAACACTTTGGTAGTTTCAGTGTGATGCCATTGGTTCTCAGGATTGTGAGGAGCTGGTCTAGCCGCTTGAGGTGTGTTTCTCTGTCTTTGGACCATAGCCAAATGTTATCAGAGATGTTGGCACAATCTGGTACCTCTTTGATGAGCTCGTGAATAATCTCATGAAAGTGTTCTCCGGATGGTGATGCTCCCATTATCAGCCTGGTGAATCTATGCGGACCATCTTCAGGAGTTGAAAATGATGTAATATGACGGGATTCCTCTGCCAAGGTCAGTTGAAGATAACCTTGCGACAGGTCAATCTCTGTAAAGACTTTTGCTCCCTCCATCTTTTGAAGTATCTCGTTGACTGTAGGAATTTGTACGCGCCGTCATACAAGTGCTGTGTTAGGTATACGCATGTCTAACACTAGTCGGAGGTCCCCACTCTTCTTTGGGATGGCTATCAACGGTGATAACCAAGGCGTTGCTCCCTCAACTTTCTCGATTATCCCTTCTTCTCTCATCTCCTGCAGCTTTTTGTTTACTTTGGTTTTCATGCTGTGTGGAATTTTCCAATTTGTTTGTGCGACCGGGGTTATTGTTGGGTCAATTTCGAGCTTCACTTCACGTCCCTTGAGGTTTCCCGTTCCTTCAAATAGCTTTGGATGTGTGTTGATAATGCGACGTACATCATGATCTTGTTGAACCGGGTTGAGGGTGTTGATGATGATAAATCCCAATGAGGAAGATGATTCATATCCAAGAATACACTTAGATTTCTTTTGTGCTACATAAAACTTAGCAGTTTTGGATGTACCTGAT